AAAAAAAAAAGAGATACAAACACAGAAATCATGCCCCAAATCAAACTTCTGTATCAACACAAAATATTTAACACAGTATATTTTGTTAGTGTCAGGTTACTAAAATACACATTTACAATTCATAAAAGAGTCCATGTATTTTTGTCCTGTAACATTTTTTGAGACAACAGCAGGATATTCTCTTAAGTGCATATCTTTTTTCCAAACATTGTGTTTGAGTGTATGTATGGTTAGAGCTCTACTGGTCTTCCCTAGGATATATTGGGATTACTGAACTGATTTGCATCGTAAGACATACTATTCAGATTTGAAGGCAAAACCAGTTACCAGTGGTTTGAAAGCAGAAATGTTGGTGAATGTAAAGATATAGGATTTGCTGCTGATGTTGAAAAAGGAAATATTTTCAATCTCCATATCCAGGAACGTCCTCACTTTGTATATTTGTATATTTGTCCTCCATGCAGAGGACAGTTCCCGGCATTGTGTGGGCAGAGAAATAGCCTCTGTTTCCCTTACTTCCAGTCCAGATTCGAAGTTCTATAACAAGTTCTGTCTTTTTCTTGTTGGCAAAAGTATTTTTTGCAGATGCCTGCATCCCTTTCTTTGTGTATTCCTACCACAGCCTCCCGTAGTAGTGACCAGAGGTGAACTGAGATGAGCCCGGGACAGAAGCTGAGTAGCTGAATCTTTCAGCATGCTCTTTCAGCCTTTGTTTAATACTTCCACACTGGACATTGTTCAGATCATCGGAGATGATGAGGAATGTCGTATGCAGTGTACCAGTGTATTGTAAAGGATACAACTCAGCACTCAGTCTCAACTCTAGACTCGTGGACTAGATGCGTAGGGCACCACTCTCCTAGGCCATGGCTGTGAAGAATACCCGGCTTAGTTTTCTCTTGGAAAATGAAATTGTTAGGGAAAAAAATGTGTAAATAATGTAAATTCTGGCCATCCTCAATAGTAGCATTGACGTGATTTACAGTTGAATCACAGATACAGAAAGTTTAATCAAGGTAAAAAATTAAAATTTCTTTTCAGTTCTCTACAGTGCTATATTAAGTGCTCGAATCTTTCACATTATATCTGTACAACTATAAAAATTGTTGGAAAGTACCCACATAATAAAGACTCTTAATACACATAGATTGCATCACTTTATAGAGTTTCACATCACACCATTCTGATAGTTAACAGATCACTGTGGCTAACGAAAAGATTGAGATTCTTAAATGGGAAGGATTTTGACAAGGAAGGTGAAATTATTTTTATGACTTTGTCTTCTACTGAAAAACTATAACCCTTCTTGGTACTTTGACTGCCATGTATTTCACGGTAGGGTGGCTCTTGAGACATGTGAGAGGTAAGAAAGACTGACACAAATTAAACATGCCTCTCCCAGAAAGCTTCCTGCCGTGCCACATGGACCTTTGAAACACATCTCTTCCGACACCCGTTTAATCATTTGTTCTCACAAGTCAGTATTTTCCTTTGGTAATGTGTCTTTCATCATCATTCAGCTCATTGTGCTTTACTATTAATAATAATTATTCAGTATTTTTCCTGCCTAGCATTATTGCTTTCTACCTAGTTAAATGTTCATATCTTTGCTTTCCA